GAGGGAGGTTGCAAGGGCACAGGGTAGATAAGAGGGGATGGGGAGATGAGTGGGATTGGGATGCATGATGTGAAATCCACAAAGCATCAATAAAAAGTTTTTTAAAGAGCAGTCCAGATTCCCTGCCCTGTGGGAAGTCCAAGGTCCTCCCACTTCTATCCAGGACCAGGAGGGTGAGCATCCAAACAGGCTAGGCTCCCACACAGCCAGTTCATGTATTAGGATCGAAACCTAGTGCCATTGTCCTTGGCTTCTCATCAGCCTTCATTGTCCACCACGTTCGAGAGGAATTGGGAATGGAGTGGGGGCAGGGGGAGGGGGTAGGGGAGTGGGGGGAGGGCGATGAGTGTGAGGAGGGGGAGGGAAATGGGAAACGGGGAGGAGGTGGAATTTTTTTTTGCAACAACTAAAAAACAATAAAATAAACAACAAAAAAAAAGTTTTTTAAAAAAGCCTTCATCCATCTCCAGCTGAGGCTCCACAGAAGAGCAGAAGGAAGAAATTAAAAAAAAAAAAAGGCAAAGCAAGAGAGGAGAGCCATGTGAAACGCTGGGCACCCAGGTACCCAGGCACATCCCCGGGAGCACACAGACCAGGCTTTCCATCCCTTAGCACCTTTCATGGACCCTGAAGACAGGATAGACGCTAGCCGTCTCTGTGAAAGTATACCACACACTGTGTGGGACTAGAGACAGCGGGAGGTGGTGACACATGGTGACACGTGACACATGCTTTGGGCGCCAGGAGACTGAGGTCATCACCTGGGACATTTCAAACCGTGGGATGGAAGAGTGCTGGAGTGCCAGAGACAGACTGGACAGGGAAGAATGGGAGGGGAGCCACATGGAGGGTCAGAGAGGGAAGGCTGATGTGACAAGCTGTTGTGGCTTCCCGGTGCAGAGCTAGGATAATCTTTCTGAAAGGTTAGAAGGGATGTGATGGATCCAAGTTTGCCACAAAGCTGCCTGCCTGGGACCATGATCAGGCCCTGTGTTTTCCTAAGCCTGTGTACGCTTAGCCTTGGGAGATCATCAGCCCTACTGTCAATGTCTGTTGCCTGAACAAAAGAGGATTAACTCCTCCCAGGAGCACACATGTCCTGCAAGCACAGACATTCCAGTCGCCTAGCATGGACTTGGTCTTCAGCTCCAGGCCGAGTAAAACCATTCTTGCCCAGGCTGCCTGAGGACCAGTCACATGTTTTGGAAGACTCCAGTATGTTGATGGTCCCATGTCGGGTAGCTCATCACCACTTGTAACTCTAGAGGATCCATCAGCACCTGCATGTGTGTGCGCACACACACACACACACACACACAAATTTTATGAAATGGAAGTATCTATCTACCTCATAGTCCTGGTTTGGCTTCTGGGTCTACAACACAAGGAACTGCTCACCTGGCCTGAAGCACAAATAATAAAAACTCAGGGTCAGAAATTTGGGTTCAACCCGAACATCTGAAAAGCAAAACAGCCAGCCACTGGCTCTTACCTCAACCTCAGTCTGAAAGGGCGATTCTGCCTCCTGGAATCTCAGAAGGAGACTGTGTGCTGTCTCCTCCCATTTTATAATCCTCTCTAGGGCTGGGATTAAAGGCATGCACCACCTTCATTAAAGGCATGCACCGCCCAGTTTCTATGGCAACTAGTATGGCTACTGTGGCAACTAGTATGTCATTGTGGCTACTGAGATTAAAGGTGTATGTCATTGTGGCTACTGAGATTAAAGGTGTGTGTTACCATAATCTGGTCTTTAAGGTTAACCAGTGGGACTGTTTACTCTCAGTCTTTATTTATTAAAATACAGTTAAAACCCACTACACCGGCCCATGAGGAACAAGGACAGGGTTGCTGACATAGATGGCCAGGTGAGCATATGGTGGAGACTACATAGGAATTCCTCAGAGTAAGCAGTGTGGGGGTGAGGAGACACATATAGGAGGCTGGTAGCATGCAGACGGTCTTCACATGACTCTTCAGGGCGATCTCAAAGGCAGTGTGGTCATCTCTGTCTTAGTCCGGGTTTCTATTGCTGCAACAAAACACCAAGACCAAAAAGCAAGTTGGGGAAGAAAGGGTTTATTTGGCTCACACTTTAGCATTGCTGTCCACCACTGAAGGAAGCCAGGATGGGAAGGCAAACAGGGCAGGATCCCGGAAGAGGAGCAGATACAGAGGCCAAGGAGAGGAGCTGCTTACTGGCTTGCTTCTCATGGCTTGCTCAGTGCGCCTTCTTATAGAACCCAGGACCACCAGCCCAGGGCTGGTACCACCCACCATGGGCTGAGCCCTTCCCTCGTTGATTATTAATTGAGAGAATACCTTACAGCTGGATCTCATGGAGGCACTGCCTCAAATGAGGTTCCGTCCTCTCTGATGACTCTAGCTTGTGTCCCGCTGACACACAAAACCAGTCAGTACAACCTCCTTATTAAAATATCCCTTCTGAATTGAAGCATTCCCTCCCGGGGCAGTGGGAGGAAAAGGGGGACTCTGGACTCTGGGGACTGGGAGAATAAACAAACCTTACAAGCCTGGGTGAGTTGGAACTTCCAGAGTCCCGTGATATGGAGGCAGCGAACTGTCCCTCCCTTGGGAGGAGAGATGCAGAGCTGCCTACAGAGAAGGACCAGCAGGACCAGCTCTGCTGCCTGGAGGAGAGCCTCCCTTGTGTCTCCAGGAACTCCCGGGGTTGCAGCAGTCCTGACATTCTCCCTCGGGTGGGGTGGGCTTTGTAGAGACCCACAAGCTCCTGGTAACTACCCCCTCACCCACACTCAGATAAATAACCGATAAACTCACCAGCTCACCAAACTGGACTTGGGTGGAATTGTTACTTGGGTCACTGGTCCCTATATGGGGTGGAGAGACATTTGTCTCTTATCTCTCCAGGAACAGTCTCACCCAACAGGCAGTGGTGAATGAAAAAAGAAGTGGGAGAGAGTTATTTCAATTAAAGCTGCAGACACCAAGCAAGAGTGTCCCTTAGTGAGAACAGAGACATATGGGACACACTGTGGAATAACTCTCTGTTGGGGGGATGGGAGTAGAATGGGGGGGGGGTAAAAAGGAATAAGGCGGAGAATTCCTGCAGGAGCAGAAGTGCTTTGGGGCATGAACTGAAGTGTTGGAAACTTACTCCCCCCCCCCCGACCTACTACCATTATGGTCTCACATAGGCCACTGCCCTCTGGGCAGCCCAGACACGTGGGGTCCAGGGAAGGGCTGGGGTAAACCCTACCCTTCAGGAGGGAGGCTGAGAGGGGCAGTTGGTCTGGTACATGGGGCCTCTGGCAAAGTGGCTGTACAGTGGCAGGCACCTTCCCCCAGGACAGGGTTCGAGATGCTCTGGGTTCTGAGAGCACCCCATCCCATCACAGCAGGTGGCAGGCACACTCCCCAGAAGTGACTGGGATGTTTCATTTGTCCCCTGGGCAGCTCCTTCTGGTTTCCTAAGCTGGAACTGAAACCTTTATGCTTCCCCACCATGGAAGGCACATCTGTCTATAAAGAAGCGGTGCCTGGGAGGCCCATTGGCAGCTGGACACAGAAGCCTAAAGACAGAAATCTTAGTTAGCACAGCTGTCAGGAGAGCGAAAGCAGGGGAGCTGGGGCCCTTGGAGGACAGTTAACACTTCTGTGATTGTAAACAGCCCTCCATGGTTTGCCTATACCACCTTGTCTGCCCACAAGAAGGATGGAGGCATACCTCACCCACCCTTGTGTGTTTCGGTTGTCGGTGTGGTCAAAGGGGAGTGGGTGGAGAAGGACTGTGTTGCATGTGTGAACGCGCAGGTGTGTTAAAAAACGGCTGCTTCACACGTGGCTGAGGCAGAGGCGCTCCTTAGACACCCTTCATTTTCACACAGGAAGAAATCGAGGCTAGGGTAGAGAGCTATCCAAATATTGCCCAACAAGTTACCCATGAGCTGAGGCAGCTCTTGACCTTGTGGGCGTCTGCAGAGTGATGCAAATAACCCAGAGGTGGTTCCCCTGCAAGCAGCTGGCCACCTGTAGCACGTGTAATCACCCCAACAGCTGGAGTTTATTATTTGTGAAAGAACATTTAAGTAAAACCTACCACTCTCCTTGCACCTGTTACTTCACGCTATCAGATCCTGGCACATCTTTCCTCCTGTCAACACCCTTTACCAGACTTCTAAGCCCTGGGTTTAGAAACAGGGATGGGGTGACCTTGTTTACCCAAGGTAGACCAGGTAGTGAGGATAACTATAGATTCAGACAGCCAGGCCTCTCCACAGGTGGCACTGTCTCCAATATACCACCCTGCCCACCTCTAGATCCACAGTTAGACTTCCCAACTAGCTATTGCTGAAATGGGAGGAGGTTTGAGCAAGTACCTGCTTACCCATGATGCGCTCCAGGTTGGGTACCACTGAACCAAGTGCTATCCCATGGCTTGATGATGCACTGTTATGGGGATGCTGCAATGATGCGCTTCAGGTTGGGTACCACTGAACCAACTGCCATCCCATGATGCAGTTATGGGGATGCTGCAGTCTGTTTGATTTGACACACATACAAGAGTGAACCTTATCAATAAGCCTGCAAGCTTTCACGATGCTGTCGGCACATGGGGGGTGTGGACTTCATGTGTGTACAAAGGCTACCATGTGGGAAACGGAAGCCAGGCTAGTGCTGCTATTTCGATTACTTTTCTGTAGAGAAGGGAGGCAGCCACGGGAGAGGTGAGGACCAGAGCCTACTTAGCCTAGACTGTCCTATGGGAGACATCAGTCGTGGCCAGCCACGGGCTGAAACTACAGACAGGATGATACTCACTAGTGACTGTAGAGGCGTGGTTAAAAACGTGTATCACACTGGTGAGGTGGCTCAGTGGGGGACTTGCCACCAAGCCTGACAACCCGAGTTTCATCCTTGGAATACACAGGGTAGAGGCAGGAACTAACTCCCACAAGTCCTCTGACCTCCCCATGCACAGCACAATCTGTGAATAGTAAATAAGTGAACATAATTACAATGTTTAAATGTATAACATTTATTATGCACTTTATAAAATTAATAAGCACAAAATAAGGAAATGAACATAAGTGAAGATAGTTTGTTATAGTCATAATGCCGTCTGGACTTCCATTTCACTCACATGTACAGATGCACTAGACAGGGAAGGTTCTGTGAAATAAAGGACGCACAGTGTTTTCATTATGTATGCACAACACGAATCCTACCAGGACCCCAATCCGAAGTTGACTCCAACATCTGTCACAGCCACTTGTGGCAAGCAAAGAGCCCACAGTGGCTTTTGTCAGTCCGGCTGGGTTTCCTGTTGTCTATGGCTACGTTCACCAGAGGCATTAGATCAAAGCCACCGGTGCCAGGGGAGGGGGACCTCCTGAGGGTGAGCTCAAAAGTAAGTAGGGGGGGGGGAGAACTGGTGCAATGAATATGTGTGGTGGTTTAAATGTAATGGGCCCCCATAGGGAGTGACACTATTAGGAGGTGTGGCTTTGCTGGTGGAAATGTGCCACTGTGGGGGAGGGCGGCTATGAGATTTCCTATGCTTAGTCTACCACCCAGCATCTCAGCTGATTTTCTGTTGCCTTCTGAAGATGTAGGCAGCACTCTGTCTGCCTGCACACCACCATGCTCCCCACCATGATAATAATGGAATAAACCTCTGGAACTGTAAGCCAGCACCAATTAAATGTTTTCCTTATAAGAGCTGCTGTGGTCATGGTGTCTCTTACAGCAACAGAAACCCTAACTAAGACAGTGGGTAAATGTGGAGGGAGGGAAGTGATTCCACAAGTTGTCCTTTGTGCTCCCCACAAACACACACACACACACACACACACACACACACACACACACAGAGTGGAGGATGTTGTTGTGCTCTGAGTACCTGGCTTACTGTTTTTCTTGCAACAACAGAAGACACTTATAGTTTTAGAAACACTTTAATTCTTGATGAAAACTTCTGCTGTCATTGTGGGTTAAGAACTCCCTGGCCTTATCCCCTCACTGAGATAACTGTTTTGTTAATGTGTTTAAAGCATGGTCTTGAGGAGCTGAACTGGATAAAATACAGAATAGGCTTGTTCTTGAATCTCCCTCTTTTCACACATACATACGAACTTCATGTATGCACCTGTTTGTACACAAATACATATATGTAATTTAAAAAAATAAAAGGATACACATACAATCTTGTATTTTGTATTCTTTACTCACTAGTGTAAGTATTTTCTGGTACATTAATATTCCTTAAAATGATTTTTAATATATTCCATAGTATGGTTTTTGTATAATAAAAAGCCGCAGTAAACAACACAGCATAGGGCTCTGCCCATACCTCTGTTTTCATACATAAGTTTTAGAACAGGAATGAGCTTGCTGAGGTTTTCATGAATATTACCTAGAGCACATATAAATCCTCAAGACGATGCCCAGTACACGGCAGGCATCTAATAACCAGGAGCTATAAATAGGAAATCAAGTAGCCAGGAGAACAGACGAACTGGGCTCCAGCAGAGGGCTAGTGAAGGGGTGTGTACCATCTCACCAGGCATGAATGCAGCGGAGAGGTCTGGGCTCAGGGAGGGGTCACTTTGTCCCCAGCAGAGCTGGATCTGCAATAGCTGGAATAAAATGGCTCTGTACTTAGAACCAAACATAGTAAGGCCACCTCCCAGCCACCCCCAGGGGGGCCTTCCTTCCTTCCTTTTAGGCCCTCTGGTTGATACTGATTCCAGTCTTCATTCAGAGCCCCAGGCCCCTGGAAACTCTGATCAGAGGACAAACAACATGAACAAGTGTTCTCAAAGATTAGTTATTAGCTATTCTCACTTGGGGTGAAAGAAAATTTAAAAGTCAAGGGAACTGAAAGAAAATATGAGAACCTCACATTTCTTGCCTGAGGACATGAGCTGGACATGGGCATGGCCTGTGGTGGCTTCATGTGGGCAGCTGACTTACAGAGTCTTCACAAGCACAAATACAGAAATGGTGCACTCTTCTGGGAAGAAGGAGGGTCTGGCATGGCGCCACAGGAAAGTATGGGCCTGTCTGTTTTCCACGCCAGAGACCACAGTAAGCCCACAGGCCAGCCTTCTGCAAGCCTACCCACTTGCATTAGTGAACTGTTAGGCTGCTCCCTGGAGGAAATCTCCCTTGTTCAGGCAATTCTAGTGCATGCCGCAGCATGGCCAACCTCTGTTCTTTGATGGCAGATTTGATTCCTTAGTACAGTCAGGTCACCGGAGCAGGAGATGGATGGAAATGGGCTCTGGGATACATCGGGGAGATAGGAGCTGTGGATGCTACAATAGGGGTTATTCTGTGTCCCCTAGCTGGCCCAAGCGGCTTCACCTAAAGAGATGTGCACTTGGAGTCTGCACCAAGCAACATGGACATCTGGGAAGGAGGAGAAAAGCCTCCTGAGAAAGGACGTGGGACTGTGGTATTCCTTTGGAGGCTGCTTGTTAGAGCCCTGACTCACTCACTCAGGGCTCTTTGGGGCTACAGCAGCACAGCTCGGTCCTCACAAACAGAAAGCCTGTCAGTCTAAAGTAAACACTTATTTGGTCGAGCAAAAGCCAGCTCTTTGAAAAGGGTTTGAGTCCATGTAGACAAGAGAATCTGTCCTTCTGTATCTTCAATCACCTACTAGAAGACATCTGTCTGTCCTTCAGGATGCCCTGAAGGGAAACAGCCCAAGCTCCAGCAGGACTCAGTTAAACTTCTTTGGATGGCCACTGGACAGGGACTGGCCTGCGGGGAGGCCTGCAGCACCTGGATCCCAAGAGCATCCTTCCACAGGCCCGGGAGCCCCAGAAGCAGAGTGGGCGAGTGGGTGCCTAGTCCTCCGGGATAGGGGTGTTGCAGTTCCCATGGTAGATCTTGACATGGCCCTCACAGTGAAAGTATGCCTGGAAGACATCGCTGTAGCCATGGTCCCTCCACCAGGTGCACAACTGCCGGTTCCAGGTGCAGTCCAGCACATGGAAGAGCTCGGGGTGCTCCATGCCGATCATGGTGAAGAAGTCCTGGTCCCCAAGGTGGCCCCGGAAGTGGTACTTGTCTGCAAGCTGCTGTACCCATGCAGGCTCCAACAGATGGCTGTAGAGTGGAGACTGGCGCATGGCCTCCAGGTTCAGCAGCATGACTCCACTGTTGAAGCCAGGAAGGCCCTCAGGTGGAGGGTCCCCAACTCTGGTCTTGGGGTTCTCATGGCGGAACTGCCAGAATGTGTGCCTGTGAAGGGGAGAAAAAAAATCAGTATTATCCCAGTTTGGGTGAATGAGCTTGCCAGACCTCCTTCCTGGGTGTTCACATGACCACTTTTCCTTCCGTTTCACAGGGACAAAAGCAGAGGCATTGGCCCAGCATCTGCACTACATCGCCAGCGGGCCGCATAGCGAGAGCCTGAATCCAGCCCCCACCACGACCTGCTCTAAGTCTCAGGCTCTTCTCATATCCTCCGCCGCCTCAGGAGGACATGATGATGTCATCATGTCGATGCCATTATGTTAGGATCTGTGGCGATGGCAGATACTGGATGGCATGCTGAATGGGGGCTGCTCCTCCTCCGAGTGCTATGCTCTGTGACTGACCCCTGGCCACACAGCTAGTAAGAAGCAGAGAATAAAGCTAGGTCTTTGGCTTAGAGTTCACATCCTTCAGATGACAGCAGAGTGGAAGGATCCCCGTCCTGTCATTATGGTGGAGAGGAGAGGACACAAGGGGAAGAGACTCTGAATGATGGTGACATCATAGACAGCAAACTGAGACTGAACCAAACATGTTTTCTGCTTTAGAACAAGTTTCATTCATGACCTAAGCCTAGCATTTCTGAGGGGCTGGGTAGAAGCTGGGGTCCAGAGATGATAGCTTAAGGCATATATCCACAAGTCAGGGTGAAAAACAGCTGTATGGAGCCATGTAGAACTATGGAATTTAGGAGGGGATGCCACCTCAACTTTTGTCTTTTCTGGCAGATTCAGAAAATGACACTTCTTGACCTTGTATCCAAATACTTCCATTTGGAGGTGGGAAATCTTCCTATGATTGACACATTGAGAGCTCTGGTCACTGTTTTCTAGCCTTTTTAAGTTCTTGTGTGCTACAGTGATGGGGGAATGGGGATCCCCAAACCTGTATGCACAGACAAGACCCAGCAGCAGCACCTGGGATGGGCAGGGCTAGCCTGGGTCCTCAGGGTGGGGAATGCATCATGGCCACAGCAGCCTAGAAATGCATCACACTGCTCACAGGATAGGACATGCAAGTTGTTGTCAAAAGCAAACCATAGCCCCAGCATGCAAGACCTGTAGCAGGTCCACTCTCCAGTTCAAATACATGACCCCAGTAAGGGGACAGACAAGCCTTCTTTGTGGTCTCGCATGTCAGAAAGGCAGCCGACAGTTTGATCTGGGGACGGGAAAAGTGTGCCCTTGGGACACTGACCAGTGGAGCACAGAGGCTCACTGTTAGCGTCTGGTCAGGAATGGGCTGTGAGGTGAGTGGGGACCTGGCTCTGATCTGGCACCTGCCTGCTGATAACAGCCTTGGAAAGATAAGCTCCGAGAGCAAGCTGAGATGATGAGGTCCTCCTGGCCACAGAGCCTGCCAGGATGGGACCACCAGCATGTCAACACTTCATCATTTTACCTTACCACCAAGTGGTTACTCTCAGGGTCAGGTTACAACCTAGCTACAATTCTGCTAGACAGGCTTGGGTCAACACAGTGCTCCCAGGTAAAGGAGGGACCCTCCAGCGAGTGGACGCTGCACCATCCAGGTACTGGGTTCCTCTTCCAATAGTGGGGATGGGGCATTTAGCAAGGAGGAAGAGAGCCAGAAAGGAAAGAAGAGAGCTTTGGAGAGCTCATCTCTGCTCCATCCTGCCCACTGTTTCCTTCCCTCCCTTGTAGAAGACCCGGAAGAGATCTGGGGCTAGCTGGAGGGACAGGATCCTCAGGTACTTCTACCTCATGCAGGCTTCCCAGATGACAGTTCCTTGGGAAGGGTAAGGTGGCCAAGAAAGGCCTGCGAAAAAGGTAAGAGTGAGTTTGTGCAGCCTTTGGTGGTGGTGGGAGCAGGGAGCAGGGAGCAGGCCAAGGCAAGGATTCTGAGTCACTACCCTGAGCACTACATCCACCATGGATGGTGAGGAACATTACTTTTATTGTTTTTGTTTATACTGCACTTGTTTCACTCTGTGAAGCTGATTCTTTGTCTGTCTGAAGCACCTGATGGTCCTAATAAAGAGCTGAACAGCCAATAATAGTGAGCAGGGGAAAGAATAGGCTGGCAGGCAGAGAGTATAAACAGAAGGAGAAATCTGGAAGAGAAGAAACAGCGAGAGAACAAGGAGAAGAGCCCATCAGTCAGGGGCGGCCACGCAGCCAGCCAGAGAGTAAGAGTGAAGTATACACAGAAGTAGGAATAGGAAAAAGCCCAGGGACAAAATGTAGTCGGGGATAATTTAAGTTAAGGGAAGCTGGCTAGAAATAAGTCAAGCTAAGGCCAGACATTTCTAACCAAGAATAAGCCTCTGTGTGTGATTTATCTGGGAGGTGGGCTCTTCTAAAAGACAAAAGAGCAAAATCATCCCAACAGTGGACTAGGGCTCAGATGCACTGAAAGGGCTTTACCCTCAGCAAGGAGTTCACAGCTAGGGCTTGGGGGCTCCTCAGATCTTCCCTCTCTGTACCAAGAGTAGCCAAAAGGAGGCCTGGCCCCTACCTTGCTAGGCTTGGGAGAGGAGACAGAACATCTCCAGGTGGAAACTCTAACCCTGGTGGCTCCTGGACAGCCATGGCCAGTGCTGTACCAGGCAACACACAGAGGCTTTCTGTAACCAAGAGGCTTACACAGGAGCTGGTGGCGCCAGCTCTCCTCACCTGCCACAAAGGTCGGGCTAGGAGTAGATTGCATGGCCCTCTCACATTCTCCCTAGGACACTGCAGTCTTTGGTCAGCTAGGCAGGGCTTCTGATCTTTATGGCCCGTTTATCTCTGATTGCCTCAGATTCCACAGGCTAATGTTCCAACGAGCAGCACCTGAATGTCAAACTCATTTCTGAGCCTGACCGACATACTCAAGGCCAAGGAGGACATACAACACTGCTGTCATGTGACTGGCCAGGGGGCAGACCTGAGAGCCCCCTGAACCTGGTCAGTATACATCCCCAAACCTGCCCTTTCTTCACAGGGGCTGGGGGTTGGCTTTGTAGGTCTACAGATCTCTGTAGGCATGCAGGTATGTGGCTCTGAGTCCTGATCTTCCAGAAGTTTCTCAGATCGACTGAGAAACTTCTCAGTCCTGTCCACTCTCACACCTGTCCACTCTTCCCTGTGTGGCTTCGTTCAATCCCATAATCACCCGGTGCTGTAACAGCAGGATAAGGTTCTCCTTCTCTTTGGGAATAGTTTTCAGTTGGGAAACAAGCCTTACACAGATGGTTCACTGTAAACAACGAGTCCTTCCAGAAGATGGTGGAGCCTGCTAGAAAAATACAAATGAGGTCCCTTCAAGCCCTTTCTTCTGGATGGTACATTCCTCGAAGGGGCTGGGTAGAAAAAGCCAAGCCCTTGCATGGGGCACAGGAGGAAAGGAAGCAGGTGGGAGGTACATGCCTGGCCTTGTTTGGAGGCCCTTGTCGGAAATGTGGGTTTGGCTGTCAACACCAGCTTGGTTTGCAGGTCAGTAACTGAGTTGACAAACTCCATATTCCCAACATGGGAGACAGCATGGGGCTAGGCAGGGCCCTCAGCTTCTCAGGTTAAGGGCCCCTGGGTATAGGTGGGCCAGTCTTCAGTGAGGGAACCAGGCTGCCTGCCAGAGAGGAGAGGACTCCAGTGGAACAGAGACCCAGTAGATCCTGCAAGAGACCCACTTCGGAGGCCCTGATCCATTCCTGCTGGCGTCCCTGAAGGTACAGCCTGCACTGAGCCTCTCCCAGATAGGTCCTTGAAGCTCTGGCCATCCCTCAGGAGGTGTGGAGACCCCACCAAGCTGCAGGCTTCATGTCATGGTACCTGGGAGCAGATTTGTCAACCTGTGCCTTCCTGCCTGGGCATCATCTCAATCCCAAGGCTTTTCTCCCACCCCTGCCGTCCTGGAGCCATGAAAACAGTGCGCAGGGTTAGGAAATGTCCATCACTCCATCCCACAAACAACTATAGGGCACAGATGGGCTAGATTCTGGGAAAGCTGCATGGGGAGGACCTGGAAAAGGGGAAGGGCAAGCCAGGTACCACAAGGAGGTGCCAAGGGCAGCAGTGCAGGCTGGGAGGGGGTGGATATATGAGAAGAGGAACAAAGAAATAGAAAAGTCCAGCAGATGGCTGGGCATGTGGGTTAAAGGTACCCAGGCATCTGCAGAGTTCAGTCAGTGGATGGAAAAAATGCAGTCAGGAAAATGGCTGGCCTAGGAGAACCCAGCCACCTGTCCTCCACACCGAAGCCCAAGCAGCTGACACTAACTCAGACCTTGGAGCCCTTTCTCTGCTGTAGAGCTCTTAGAGGAGCCACGGGGCCATCCAGACCTTCTAGCTGGGTCAGCAGGCCCCACAGTACCCAGTCCGGGTGTCTCTGGCCTTCCTCCCTCCCCTCTCCCCACGCAGACAGAGCTTTCTCTAGGTTTATCTCCCCATGCGGTGCCCTTCACACTCAAGCCACTGACATTAGCTCTCATCTGTTTAATTAAAGGAGGTCTACAGGCTCACAGTCGTAGAGACGCAAGGTCTCGGGGCTGTTACTCTGAGTCTGAAATGTCCCTTCCAGTCTCATATGCTTGCACCCTTGGTGCTGTTCTGCGCGGCTCTGGGACCTTTAGGGTCTAAGGCCTGGAGAGAGGAAATGGGCCCCTTGGGTGGACCTTAGGGGTCAATCCTGACAAATTTCTGGTCTGTTGAGATATAAGCAAGGCTCACACTCCTGCTGCCTCAGATAGGGACCACCCCATCAGGATGATTCTGTGTGTTATGTCTGTTGCCATGTCTTCTCCACTCAACCGTGAGCCAAGAATCAATCATACTCTGAGCTGTTTCTATGGCATACTTTGTCCTAATGATGATAAAAAACAGCATGGAAGGTGGCGCCAGCTGGCAGAGTCCAGAGGTGGTACTGTGTGGCAGGGGATGCAGGAGTGTGCTAACTGCCCACTCTGCCCGTCATCCAAACACGCCGATCAGAATAGAGTCACACCAAGTACCTCAGCGCTCGCCTCAGGTAGAAATCAAGCTTGC